AAGTGGAGCTCCCCCTGCCACGCAATGCCACGGAGGAGGAGGCCCGCGGCAGCATTGCCACCCTGGAGCCCATTGAGATCACACCCACCGCCACCGAGCTGTATGAGGGCTTCACTGTCCTGCCCGATCTCTTCGCCACCAGTGTCACAGTAGAGACAGCTGCCCCAGAGGAAGAGAACGTGACTAGGGGGGATGTCACAGGGGTGCGGGCTGTACCTGAAGAGGTGACCACCATAGCCTTAGGCACTGCCATCACCACCGAAATGGCAGAGGTGAGCTCGGTGGAAGAGGTCGTGGGGGTGACTGCCACACCAGGACTAGAGTCCGCCTCAGTGTTCACAGTGGAAGATCAGCTCGTGCGAGTGACAGCAGCCCCCGATGTCGGTCTCCTCCCTGAGCAGCCCATCTCCCCCACGGGTAAGTCACCAGGACTCCAAGAAGCCTGAAGACCAGTTTCTCCCAGAGGTAACCATTCAGCTGAAAACAGCCTGAGCTTCTGCCGTCACAGAGGGCATCCAGGTCCCTATTGGGGGTTAGGGGCAGGCTGAGTACCTCCACTATGGTAGGACAGGAGGGGTGAGGAGGAGGCTGTGGACCACCCCATCAGGTGCGGAAAAGGGCTCAGCAGGCTGATGCTTGGGGCTGCAGTGGTCACACTGCACTCCTATGTGCATCTGGCTCCAGAGAAGGTGAAGGTCAAGGTAGGAAGATCCTAGAGGAAGACTAAAGAGATCCCCAGAACATCACCCTCGATGGCAGAGGAGCTCATTGAATGAGCTATCTCCATCAAAGTGGGTTTGACAGGCACTGGTCCTTGCACTGTTGTTGGGAAGACCCTTTCTGGTCACGCATCTCGGTGGAGTGGGGGTCCCATATCTGCTGTCTCACCACGGCTTCTCTGCCCCCAGGTGTGGTGTTTCACTACCGCGCTGCCACCAGCAGATACGCCTTCTCCTTCGTCCAAGCCCAGCAGGCCTGCCTGGAGAACAACGCAGTTATCGCCACTCCCGAACAGCTCCAGGCTGCCTACAAGGCTGGTTTTGACCAGTGCGATGCCGGCTGGCTGCGGGACCAGACAGTCAGGTAAAACTATATTGACTTCGGGAAGACACCTCTCAAAATGACTATTCAGCCATGAAATTGAGGCTTTACTCTGGTCTGTCCTGATGCTCTGCTCATCAGCATCTAAAGCTTTCTCGACCTGGTTGTCTCCAGGCATTGATATCTAGTGGCCAATAGACCTGTTCTTCTCAACCTGTCCTACGCTTTTCCTAACCCGTATATACATCCTGCAGTGTAGGAAAAGTGGGGAAAAGTTTGTATTCATTGCCCCAAGCTGTAAGTGGACCTGTTTCCAAGTCATGCTGGGGGCTCTACGCACCTCTAACAGTGAAGTGTTCATGTCCTGCTCCCAAGTACACTGAGGTTCTTCAGTCCAGGGTACATAAGGCTGACCTTGGGTTACCTCCTCTCTTTTTTTCATAGGTATCCCATTGTGAATCCCCGAAATAACTGCATAGGAGACAAAGAGAGCTCTCCGGGCGTGCGGTCATACGGCATGCGCCCAGCCTCGGAGACCTACGACGTGTACTGCTACATCGACAGGCTCAAGGGTACGTTCTCCCCCTTCCTCTGGGCATGGTTGTGGAGCAAAGACGTGCTTCACACCTCCACGTCTGCGTGTGCATGGATGGGGTGCAGGGACTCACGCCTGTTTTCTCTCCCATCCCTCAGGGGAAGTGTTCTTCGCAACGCAGCCAGAGCAATTCACCTTCCCAGAAGCTCAGCAGTACTGTGAGAGCCAAAATGCCACACTGGCCTCTGTTGGCCAACTTCACGCCGCCTGGAAGCAGGGCCTGGACAGATGCTACGCTGGCTGGTTAGCCGACGGCAGTCTCCGCTATCCCATCGTGAGCCCCCGTCCTGCCTGCGGGGGGGACGCGCCCGGCGTGAGAACCGTCTACCAGCACTATAACCAGACGGGCTTTCCCCACCCGCTGTCCCGGCATCACGCCTTCTGCTTCAGAGGTACCCTCCCACCCCGTGTAGACTGGTCTCCCTGGGGAAAGGGATTTCATGAGGGAGGTTGGGCACATCAGGGGGCTAGTTTGGGCGAAGCACTTCACCGGCGTCTTGGACTGTGAATTTTTGGAAACTCCCTCCAATACCTTTTTGTTCCAGCTCTGCCACCTGCGGAGGAGGGGGTCACCTCGTTCTTTGAAGAAGATGTGCTGGGAACCCAAGTGATCCCTGGAGTGGAGGGGGTACCCTCTGGGGAGGAAGCGACCGTGGAGACGGAGTTTACCACTCAACCTGAGAATCAGACAGCCTGGGGGACAGAGGTCTTTCCAACCGATGTGTCACTGCTCTCAGGTGGGTCAGAGCTTTCCCGTCTCCTGGGTCATGCTTGGCTGGTTTTGTAGGGTTGGGACACTCCCAAAATAAATGGACTGTGTCTTTGCTGAAGGACACTCCTTCTAAATCCAGACAATTATCACCATATTAGCAAAGTCTGAGGCTGTGCACACAGGTACTACAGGAGGAGCTACACATATATATTATTGAACTTCTGTCTAGGACTGAACTAAATGACCAGCCATCCTGCCATGCTGCAGACCAGCACACACAGAATTGCCAGAACACCTTACAAAATACATTGCTGTGTACCCAGGATGGGGAAGGCAGGCTAGAAACAGATCTCAGACCATGCCTTCCCCGGAGGACAGAGCTGCAGTGTGGCCAGAGCAGCACCAAACTTTTTCTCTTCCACGTGTTATCTCAGAGGAAGCAGTAGCTTGATTTTGGCACCTGGGAATTGGTGTCACTGTTGCCATCATCCCGTGTCAGCAGATCATATATTCTGTTAGTTTCCCAGAGATATATAGTTTACAGTTGTTTAAGAGATAATGTTCATTTACAAATTTGAAGGGAGACCAAATTATTTCTGCAAGCACTTTGTGCCTTTATCCCAAAGGTGTCAGTTTGGAGGTAAAGTCAATCAGGAAATTGTTAATAGCTTCTTTAAAACAACTTACTTAGTAAATAATTTTCCTATCTCTCTGTCTTTGTTCACCCTTTCTTTTCCAGTGAGTCCATCTGCTTTTCCTCCAGCTACCGTAATACCAGAGGAAACAAGTACCGATGCTTCCGTCAGCGAAGTGTCAGGGGAGGTGACTGAATCTGGAGAACATCAAGTCAGTGGTGAATCTTCAGCATCTGGGTGGATATCTGGAGTCCCGGATACAAGTGGAGAACCAACTTCTGGAGTTTTTGAACTTAGTGGAGAACACTCAGGGATCGGAGAAAGTGGATTATCATCGGTAGACCTGCATACCAGTGGCTTTCTACCTGGAGAAAGTGGGCTACCCTCAGGGGACCTGAGTGGGTTGCCTTCTGGCATTGTTGACATCAGTGGCTTACCTTCTGCAGAGGAAGAGGTACTGGTGTCTACTTCGAGGATACCAGAAATCAGTGGGATGCCATCTGGAGTGGAAAGCAGTGGGCTGCCTTCTGGATTTAGTGGAGAAATCTCTGGCACTGAGCTAGTCAGTGTAGTGTCATCTGGAGAGGAAAGTGGACTCGCCTCTGGTTTCCCTACCGTCTCTCTTGTGGATACCACGTTGGTGGAAGTTGTCACAACATCACCAGAATGGCGAGAGGAGGGAAAAGGATCCATTGGAGTCAGTGGTGAAGGAGATCTGTCAGGGTTCCCATCCACTGACTGGGACACCAGTGGCGGACCCCAAGGGTTACCCTCAGGAGCTGAGCTCAGTGGGGAGCCGTCTGGAGAGCCTGAGCTCAGCGGGGAGCCTTCTGGGG